ATGTGTATGGTGTAAGTGATGAAATAAGCCGAAATAAAGTAAAAAATTAGGCATCGAAGGTTTTAATTTCCTCACAATAAGAACGAATATACCATTGGTCCAAAACTTGTACAACCATAATAACATATGAACGTTCAAATCTTGAATTTGATCCAAACAATCACTGTTATATTGTTTGATACCAACTGACTTAAACTCATGCAACAAATCCAATACAATGTAACTGACCTGCATATGTTGTACAATGATAAACACGTTAACAACCCTTTCCAATGAAAAACGGCCCGACGTACAAAACTCATGAGCTTTGCTCATGAATCACGTCGAATTTCAGTGATTCGGCTTCGTTTTAACTCATATAAATCGAATTTTGCTATTTTAGTAAACTTTTAGAAAATTCATATCAATTCATATAAACATCTGATGATGATTCTGTCAGTTGGGGTTTTTTTATAATATTGCAAAATCTAACAGAATTTTGGTTCAACTAAATTACGCATTTTTCCAGCAAAATGGTCGTTTCCCCCAACTTATTAAGGTTTGTTTAGTTTTAAATGCACGTTAACAACTCTATCCCAATCAAACGGCCCGACCAACAAAACTCATGACCATAGCTCAAGAATAGCGTAAGATATCCGTGATCAGATGTCGTTGCAGCTCACAAAAATCAAATTTTACTATTTCATAAAATTCTTGGAAAATTCATATCAATTCATAGAAACATCTGATAAGGATTCCGTTAGTTGTGTTACTTCTAAAATTCCGAGATACATTAGAATTAGCTTTTAACTCATTTTCACATTTTTCTACAATAACCGTTATCAAATTAATTAGGTGTTTTTTAGTATTAATAGCATGTTAACAACCCATTCCCAAGCAAAACGACCGGACAAACAAAACCCATGAGCTATGCTTATGAATCGCGTCAGATTTCGACGATTCGACTTCGTTTCAACTCATATAAATTGAATTTTGCTATTTTAGGAATGTTTTAGAAAAATCATATGAATTAATATAGACATCCGATGATGATTCTCTCAGTTGGGTTGTTTATAATATTGCGAAATCTAATAGAATTTTAGTTCAACTCATTTTCGCATTTTCAAGCAAAATTGTCGTTTTTCCCTACTAATTAATGTTTGTTTAGTTTTAATTTTACGTTAACAACCCTATTCTAAGCAAACGGCCCGACCAATAAAACTCATGACCATAGGTCATGAATCGCGTAAGATTTCAGTGATCTAACGTCTTTTCGACTCACAAAAATCAAATTTTACTGTTTTTAGAAAATTCTTAGAAAATTCATATCAACTCACAGATACATTAGATGAGGAATCCGACAGTTGTGTTACTTCTAAAATTCCGAGATATATTAGAATTAGGTTTTAACTCATTTTCGCACTTATATTCTAAATGGCCCGTTATCCCGGTTTATTATGGTTTTTTGAATATTAATAGCACGTTAACAACTGTTAGAGAATATTATATTATAGAACTCTCCTAATATTAGGATTCTAGTATGATTCGGTTACCTAGATTAGTTAGGATTTAGTTACCTAGTCAAACTCTATTACCTTGCAATATTTCTCTATATATATTCCATGTAATCAACCCATAACACAATGGGGGTTTCTATTCTACGTATTATTATTTCTCTTTCTTCTATTCTTCCTATATGGTATCAGAGCACCAGGTTTAGGTTTTTTTTAACCTAGCCGCCTTTCTTCTCCATGGCGGTGACCACCCAATTCTCTCCCTCCCCGGTGGTGGTACTCTTAATATCTTTCTTTTTCTATCTTTTCTATGAACACCACCCAAATTTTCTCCCTCTTCCGGTGGTTCTCTCTTCTTCTTCTTCTTTTTCTTCTTATTCTTCTTAGCCGTCGCCTCTCTTCTTCTTCTTCTTTTTCTTCTTCTTCTTCTTAGCCGTCGCCTCTCTTCTTCTCCATGGCCGGCGACCACCAAACCGAATTTTCTCCCTCTCTCGGTGGTGTATTTTCTCTATCTTTTTCTTCTTCTTCTTCTTCTCCATGGCCTAAAACCTAGCCGCTGCCTCTCTTCTTCTCCATGGCCGGCGACCCCTCTCTCATCTCTTCTCTCTATCTCGATTAAAAAAAAAAAAAAAAAAAAAAAAAAGTTCTTATTTTTCTCTCACCCGTTATTATTATTATTATTATTATTATTATTATTATTTTTAAATTTGGCAGATATTTCAACAGAGGAATTCTCTAGCGATGTGTTTCGCGGTTTCTGTCCAGTCTTCACGTTTGAAGTTTATTCGTTCCGACTGCGGGAGCGTGCTAGCAAGTGAATGTCCAGTCTTCACGTTCGTCACGTTTCGACTGCGGGGGCGTGTTAGAGAATATTATATTATAGAACTCTCCTAATATTAGGATTCTAGTATGATTCGGTTACCTAGATTAGTTAGGATTTAGTTACCTAGTCAAACTGTATTACCTTGCAATATTTCTCTATATATATTCCATGTAATCAACCCATAACACAATGGGGGTTTCTATTACGTAATATTATTATTTCTCTCTTTCTCCTTCTTCTATTCTTCCTATAACAACCCTATCCCAAGCAAACGACCCTACCAACAAAACTCATGACCGTAGCTCATGATTGCGTAAGATTTCAGCGATCCGACGTATTCAAATTTTACAGTTGTAGGAAATTCTTAGAAAATTCATATCAATTCATAGAAACTTCAGAGGAGGATTCCGCCAGTTGTGTTACATCTGAAATATTGACATACATTAGAATTAGGTTTTAACTAATTTTCGATTTTTTCTGCAAATTGGTTGTTATCCCGGTTTATTAGATTTTTTTTTGAGTTTTAGTTGCACGTTAACAACCCTTTCCCAAGCGAAACGGCCCGACGAACCAAACTCTTGAGCACTGCTCATGAATCGCGTCAGATTTCGGTGATCCGACTTCGTTTGGACTCATAGAAATCAAATTTTGCTAATTTAGGGAAGTTTTAGAAAATTCATATCAATTTATATAAATATCTAATGACGATTGTGTCAGTTGGGTTGTTTCGTATACTGCGTAATCTAATAGAATTTTGGTTCAACTCATTTTCGCATTTTCCAGCAAAATGGCCGTTTTTTCCAACTTATTAATTACACGTTAACAACCCTATCCCAACCAAACGACCCGACCAACAAAACTTATGACCGTAGCTCATGAATCGCGTAAGATTTCGGTGATCCGACGCCTTTTCTACTCAGTATTGTTAGAAAATTCATATCAATTCATAGAAACTTCAGATGAGGATTTCGTCAGGTTTTGTTACTTCTAAAATTCCGAGATACATTTGAATTATGTTTTCACTCATTTTCTCATTTTATTTTCCGCAAAATGGTTGTTACCCCGGTTTATTAGGGTTTTTTGAGTATTAATAGCACGTTAACAACCCTATCCCAGCAAAACGGTCCGACAAACAAAACTCATGAGCCTTGCTCATGAATCACGTCAGATTTCGGTGATCCGACTTCGTTTCGGCTCATATAAATCAAATTTTGTTATTTAGGAAACTTTTAGAAAATTCATATCAATTCATATAAACACCCGATGATGATTCTGCCAGTTGGGTTTTTTGTAAAATTGCGAAATCTAACATAATTTTGGTTCAACTCATTTACGGATTTTACCAGCAAAATGGTCGTTTTCCCAACTCATTAAGGTTTTTTAGTTTTAATTGCACGTTAACAACCCTATCCCGAGCAAACGGCCCGACCAACGAAACTCATGATTGTAGCTCATGATTGCGTAAGATTTCATTGATCCAACGTCTTTTCGACTCACAAATATAAAATTTTATTATTTTAGGAAATTCTTAAAAAAATCATATCAATTCATAGGAACTTCGGATGAGGATTCCGTCATTTATGTTACTTCTAAAATTCCGAGATAAATTAGAATTAGATTTGAACTCATTTTCGCATTTTTCTACAAAATGGCCGTTATCCCGGTTTAATAGGTTTTTTTCGAGTATTAATAGCACGTTAACAACCCTTTCCCCAGCAAAACTGCTCAACGAACATAATTCACGAGCATTGCTCATGAATCGCGTCAGATTTCGGCGATCCGACTCCATTTCGACTCTTAAATCCCGTTTTATTAGGGCCGGGAATTGTTTCAACAAGTCTCAATCAATTTTCTCCGTGTTCCACAATTAATTCATATTTTCGTATGTTTGGCATTCAAGTAAGTATTACCCAAATTGTTATTTACAGCAACCTAAGAACACATTTGTAGATTATCACAAATGACTAAAACTTAACAATCTTTATTAAGATAAGATTGTTTGCATAGATAGCAACGAACGTTCACGAGTAGAAAAATGATTTTTTACTACGACCATTAACCGTAGCAAAATGTATTAAATTTTCGTAGTAAAAAGGCTTTTGTTGCGCATTTGCTAAGAATTTGCCCCGTAGCATATACGGGCGTGACAAAAACTTTGCTACGGTAAATGACCGTACCAAATACATTTTTGCTACGATAAATCCTAATATTTACTACGACTTCAAAATTGTTCCGTAGAAAAAAGACCTTTTATAACGGTTTTTTAGCGTAGCAAAAAAAATCGTAGTAAAAAGCAAACTTTCTACTAGTGGTTTAGTCTACTATCCTAACATTTGGAAAACCAAATTATATATAACTCGTATAAGATGCAAGCATTATAACAACGTAAGTTCGATTCCCACAAAATATATAACTAATGACGGGCAATAATCTTACTCAATTATTCTATGCTGCAAATCCAGTGTGAAATGCATCCACTATCAAAACAGGGTACATAAACTGCTATATTTCAAGTTATAAAACATGTTAGAGGAATTAATGAAAGAGAAGTGTCTAATTAGTAATTACATAAAGAGATTGTCATAATATGAGTAGTTTGTTGTAGGAAAATTGATTGAAAAAAAATATTTCACAAATTGAACATAATTGAAAATATTTATGCAAAGATGGATATAATTAGTTGATCATCGGCCCTTGGGATTGACAATCTGCGAAAAAATGTCTTCATCACCTTTTTTGATAGCATCGTCGTCGTCAAAGACATCATCATCATCTACAAGGTTTAAGGTGTTGCGATGCATGGCGATGAGGCTATTATGGTCAATTTTGTCTTGATCGATATGATCAAGATCAACACTGCCCGTTTTGCCGGAGCCGGCAGCCCGTTTATCTTCCGGGTTGTCATGTAGCTGTAGTGCAAATTCGAGGTTCCAAAGAACATCCCCCATTGAAGGCCTGTCAACCCCATGATCTGCCAAGCATTTCTCAGCTGTATCAATGAATTTGTTCAAGCATTCTTGAGAAACCTTATCTTTGAGCTGCGGGTCGATAATATCTCCTAGTGTTTTATTTCTAGCGCATCTTAGTGCCCAATCCGCGAGACTCACTTGTTCTTTCGGAAGGCTTGGATTAAGGACTGGCCTTGCGCATAGCACCTCAAAAAGCACGACTCCAAACGAGTAAACATCGGACTTTTCAGTCAACTGTTGTCTCCTAAAGTATTCGGGATCCAGGTAGCCGAAGCTACCTTTCACGACAGTGCTGACGTGGCCTTGGTTCATGTTTGGCCCTGTTTTGGATAGCCCGAAATCGGAAACCTTTGCTACCCATTTGTCGTCTAGGAGAATGTTTGTTGTCTTGACATCCCGGTGAATTATAGTGTACTTGGCACCGGTGTGGAGATAGTGAAGCCCTCTTGCTGCTCCAATGCATATCTCCAACCTCTGCTTCCATGACAGTGTTATTTTGTTGCCCTTGTAGAGATGTTCCCTCAACGTACCCAAACCCATGTAGTCGTAAACCAATATCATTTCACCGTTATCCTCACAGAATCCGATCAACGACACCAAATGCCTGTGCCTTAGTCGAGAGAGCATCTCTATCTCTGTCTGAAATTCGTTCACGCCTTGCTCTGATGAGGGGTTTGATCTCTTTACAGCCACTTTGGTGTCTCCATCAACCACTCCTTTGTACACCTTTCCGAATCCTCCCACTCCAATCACGTTCGACTCGTCGAAATTCTTGGTTGCGTTCTTGATCTCTGTCAAGCTGAAGTAGCGGCAATTGCAAGCTGCATCCGTTGAAATGGAGGTGCCGCCGCCTTGGCTTCTGCCCGATACTGATGAAGACTTGATGGTAGTGGAATTAGAATTCCACGAAATCGGCAGCCATGTAGTTGCTCCTTCACCTTTAGGATCCCTCTTTTTGTTACTGTAAGCGAACAGAAAAACGGCGGCGGCCGCCACCCCAATGGCTGCAGCTCCGGTGATGAGTAAATTACTATTTGATGATTTATCTTGAGCTTGAAAAGTGATTGGAGCCAATTGAGCTTGCTGATATTTCTTCATCATATCGGAGATTGTAGGGTTTGGACCCGCAAGGTTGGACTTTGCATTGTCGCTGAGCTTGAATATCTCGAGCCCGTTCAGAAGAACATCGACGAATTCCGCCTTGGTTTTGTCGTTCGGGTGAAGGGCCACCCACAGCTGCTGTTGAGAATCGCCGGCGCTCTTGTTGTTGACTTGCACTACGTAATCCTTTATTGTGGGAGTCGCTATAGAACCCGTCCATGCGTACAAATCCACTTGGCTTGCCGCGGTTTTGTTGTTGATGAAAACGTCGAAAACCCTCTGGTTAGGTTTAGTCATCTCGGAATCACACCAATGGAATCTGAGGAGGTACATGAAATTTGGATCGACTTGGAAGATCCACGTCAGATTCGCGTTCTTGTTCACGTCCTTAAAAGCACCCATTGATCTGTACGTTGAGTACACATCTATTGGGGCAATGTAAGAAGGTAATCCTTTGTATCCGACTGTGGCGTTTGCTTCGACCGCGACTCCATTTGCCGCACCGTATATGTAAAGGCTGTCGTCGTACCAACTTCGCATTAGCCCACCCGAATCGTTTGTCGGGGAGATATATTGCCCGCCCATGTTTAATCTGAACATTGTTTCCATACTGCTGCTTTGTATTGGTATCGTAACGGCAGCGTCGAAATCATCGTCGGATCCACCAGTACCGGCCAATGTTGGGTCCGTGTCGAATAGAGGTGGCATTGAAATAAGCTCAATGCCATTGATGAACGCGAAAGAGTTATCCGATGGCTTGAATGTGAGGTTAAGAGTGGGGAATTGTGATGGAGCCAAGTAATATTCCTTGATGAAATATGCCTGAGAGAGAGCTTCCGCGGCTAAAGAAGCGCTGAAATTATTCAACAACGTAACGCCGCCGCCTGCGACAACCGAGAAGTAAGAATTGGAGATGTTGAAATTCGGGTAAGAAGAAGGGTAGAAATGGAGACGAAGTAGAGTTCGAGAGGTTGAATTTTGGAGAGGAAATTGATAGGTTGATTGGGATTGGAATGTTCTGGCAGTCATGTAAGGAATAACTGAAGGCAAAGAAGGGTCTTGAATTTCAGCCTTGACCGATGTCGATTTATCGTCAACCACTAAGTATTTGGCATCGGGTTGCCATGTCGAGCCGTCGGATTCATCTTTTATCGCGTCCGAAGAACCGCAACTTAAAACCAATGAATTTGGTCCATTGTTGTTTTCAGCATGGGTTGCATTTGAGAGAAGAAGAAAAATAGTTGCAAAGGATACAAGAATGTGATTGCGATTGCGATTACTCGTTGTTCTCATGGCTACATGAAGGAAGCAATGAATGAATGAAAGAAACTAAATGAACAAGAAAATTGGCATACAGGAAAACAGGGCTGATGAAAACAAAACTGATTATTTCCTGTACGCCTACAAACTTTATATTTCTTTTTTTTTTTAATAGTTTTTTTTTCTCTTCTTCTGAAGTTTTTCAATTATTTTTTGTTTCTTTCTTTTATGGATTTATGGTCGACCATTTCTTGGTCTCCATAGAAGAAGAATATTGAGAAAAGGAAAGAAGAGAAAATAGATGAAGAAAATATAATCTTCTTTAGATTTCTTGTTTTTTTTTTCTATGGTTTTGTGTTTCTTGCCTCCCTAATGTTGTCCGTACGGATGGATGGAGATGAGTGAATCTCTCATTTTTTAAATAAATTTTTAGGCTAAAAAATGAATGGAACTCAACGAGAAGAGGAAATAAACAAGTCTCATTCTCAACCATTGTATTTGTGGAGCATTTTTCAATACATGAACATATAGGTATGCTTTTCACACTGTATGAAACATAACTAGATGCTTTATTTTTATATTAAGTAGATGCTTTATTATGATGGCCATATTTTCTACTATAAAAAAGGGTTTGTTGAGTGTTGGTTGTAATACCTACACGCAAGTGCACTTATCGTTCAAGTAATAAAGTGGATTTTTAAGTCCAAGTATTCATTCCATAGAGAATATTTAATTATCTAATCCTAGACGCCAATTGCTATCAAGCCCACCCTACACAGTCGAAAGATAATTAATAAACTAAATTAAACTAAAGCAATTAGAAAGAGAAAAGCAAGAAACAAATTAAGCACGAAGATTTATCAAAGTAAACAAGCCTAAGATTTTATTCTTCCCCCTATGTGATTATTAATCCCCTAATTCCTTCAATTATGCAAGCTATTAACCCGGATTATTAACCTGAGATGCTAAATTAATCATAACCCGCTTAGCATGTATTACGATTCTAATACTCTAGATTCAATCACTGTATTCCTACGCAATTAATTTTAGAACACATCATTAAGCACAAATCTCAATAATGGCTACCTAAGAGATTAACTATATTCCTATCTTAATACCACAAATGCTCTTCTACCACAATTCTAATTATTAACATGATCTTTCGATTCATGCGATTAACAATAACATAAAAGCACATAAGGTGATCAAATTCATGCACTTAATAAAACAAGTAGAAGAAATAATCCGGAATTAAAACTTGCATAAAATCATAGAAAATGGTTCATAAATCCCACATAGGGTTCCAAATAAAATCCTAGAAATAAAGACTTAGCTATTCGTGATTCTTATGATAAAGAAAATAAAATAAGTAAATAAAATAAGAAAAACTATGCTTGAATTTTCGTTGATCTTCTTTGCTCTTGAATTTGTGTAAAAAGATGGATCCCCAATTGTGTGCTTGGCTTGGTCTTATATATGGTGGAAAACTTGGAGAAGAAGGTAGTTTCCTTGTATAATTAAAATTCATTTACTGTGCCTCTTCGTGATCTCAGACGGCCGTCCCGATTTTTGTACTAAAACTCGGACGGCCGTCTCAAAACCAGAGAATGCTTCTGCTTCTTAGACGGCCGTCCCAGTTTTAAGTGTATTTCTCAGACGGCCGTCCCGGGCTATATTTCTTCAGCTCTTTGACTTCTACACTTTTGGCCCATACTTTCTCCATAATTGCAGTTTTTACCCCATAGTTTTCCAATTCTTCAATTTGTACATAAAATACAAAAAATCAACTTTTTAAGCACCAATTATCATTAAAACTCACCAAAAGCTCCAATTAAAAGGTACGATTAAGTGTAAAAATATACACTTAACACACCCCCAAACTTGAACTTTTGTTTGTCCTCAAGTAAAATCTACTCATAAGCAAATAACTCAACTACTACATCTCATTACATAGATCAATGATCAACTTCACATTTTCAGAACTTGTAATTATAATGACAATTCTTAGGCATTCGCAAACTCAAAATTCAACAGCACTTAGTCACTCACCATTAGCAAAAACCACAAATCATACAATTGCTTCAAGCATCCAATATTTGCAATTTAAAGATAGAAAGAATTTATACCCTTTTGGGCCGAACCGCGGGGATCTTCCAGCCCTTTTCATATATTTTGAACTACCTTTTGGGCCGAAGTCGCAGGGATCTTCCAACCCTTGCGAACAATTATTATTTTTTTTTTTTTTGCGAAACAGCCATCAAAGTTTTTGGAGGTTCCAACCCGCCAGCGAGCTCGCGAACTTAATGTGTTCATCTCGTACCGAAGGAACTTCTAAATTCTTCTTATTCTAGCGGATCACCGGTGCAACTTCAAGAAGGTTGAGCTCCATCATCTCTTTCGAATCTCCTCAAGGAACTGTGGAAGTGAGTTTTGAGCTTCCCCGAATTTGATTTCGAGAGGTGTCTTCATGTCTTATCTCTTGCCCATGTTGATTCGAGCTTATGAGCTCAAACGCGAGCCCCAATGCGAGCGAGCTTCCAGAAATCTTGTGCCGATAAAGGAATTTGTGCTCCAGGAACGCTTAACCCCCTTTTTTTTGGTCTTTTTTTTTTGACAGAAGATAATATCATTAATTCTACAACTTTGTTCGTCCGTGCTCGCGGTAATCCCAAATCGGCTCGCACCGGCTGAAATCCACAAATGCATATTAAACGACCTAAAAATAATCGAGGCACAAAAATATAGCGATTTGCTCAAATAATATAAATATGGAAAATAAGATATACAAATCAAAGTCGATAACAAAGATTTAAATTGGGAAAAACCCTAAAAGATTCTTAAACTGTGAAGACGAAGAAAAAGAAATAATATATCTTGCATACAAATTTCCCTTCATAGTTGTTGAGCATTTTTCCAATACCTCCTGTGAACATGGTCTACATAATAAAAACAAAAAAATAGAAGCATAGTAAAAATGGTCTACATGCACTTTTATTTATTTACATGCTTCAAATACTAGGCAGACCACATACAAATTGGTTCGGCAAAAAATCATATAATTAGTATGCATAAGAATTCGCAAGATGAGAAATACAGAAATTCGAATAACACCTAAAAATGATTTCCATGGAGTTCTAACCATCGTTTTAATTAATCAATTAAATCCCTAATTGCTCATATCTTTCAACAATTAATTCACCATTATTATTCCCATGACTGAAAGGCAAAATTGATTAGCATAAAAGCCATATTGCTATCATCACACTAGCGATCATATAAATATATCCAAATTAATAAAGCATAAGTCCAAGATAACATCAATCTTCACAAAATTCACAAATAATTAAGAATTTATAAGGGATTTCTATTTATCATAATCTTCCCTTAAGTTATCGCTCAACGTCTCAACTCGACTCGAAGTTCCAACACACGGCGCCACTTGATGGTGCTCAAATTTCGCACCCTCAAGACCTTCTCCGAAACCCTACTTTGAGTGTTGCCGGAGAATCCACCACTAGCCGGATCGGACAGTGGTGGCTAGATGTATAAAGGATAAAATGAACTTTGTAGAGAAAAAAGAAAGAAAGATATTATTGATGTCTTCCAGACCTAAAACTAATGAGAGTTTTCACATGTGTTTATATAGGTGAGTTAATATTCTAGATATTTTCCTATTATCAAGAGGCATGTAATCAGTCAATTATCTCTAAATTACACGTTTCCTTCTTAACTAATCTGATTTTATCTTTTTTCCTTGTATAAGATATCTTCTTTCCTTCTTCGAGTCTTCCCATGCAGTTCACACGTTGTCATACGAGCTTAATTAGGCCTAATTTGGGCCAACAATTCGTACAAACTCCTCCAGCCCAACTCGTGTTTCCTTTTCTAGCCCACTTCCTTGGGCCCAGCCCAAGCCTGCCAAAATGGCACCCATCAGCCTAAATTGCAAAAAGACCACTCCCTAATCATTAAGGCTCTGATTGGTTCAAGGAAAATTGGTTCGTAAGTAAAATGGGGATGAAAATGGCTGTGGAAAATTATTTTCCTTACTTTTGTTTGGTTTCTAGGAAAAAAAATGTGAAAATAACAATGAATTATTAAATGGTGTAATTTTATTTTTTTATAAAAAAGAAAATGAAAACTGTTATGTTAGAAAAAAAGCGGTCATGTTAAAAAAAAGAAAAAAAAAATTGTGACTATGAATTTAATTTAATAATTTATTGTTATGAGGTCATGTTAAAAAAAGAAAAAAAAATTGTGACTATGAATTTAATTTAATAATTTATTGTTATGATGTGTGTGAGAGAGAAGAAGAAGAGAGAGGAAATAAAAGAGAGAGAAGAGAGAGAGCACTTCGAGAGAGGAGAGAGGAGAGAGATAGCAGGCTGAGAGTGAGGGGGAGAGAAAAGAAGAAAAAAGGGAGAGAGAAGAGAAAAGAGAATTACATGGCATTTTCCTCAATTTGTTTGAGCAAAATGCATTTTCTTAGTTTTAGTGTAATTTTTTTTTTCCACTTTTTCCTCTTAATTATATTACCTAGCATTTTACCCTGCAACCAAATATGAAAATCAATTTACCTAATAATTTCACCTTTTTACTCATCATTTGGGATTTCAAAAGTCCTTGATTTACTTTTCCTTTACATTTTTATTTTCCTTATTTTGAAATCCATGAACCAATCAGAGCCTAAGTATGCAAGTCGCTCACAACTCTATAAATAGAACCCAAGCCTTCATCTGTTTTCTCATTTTCTCTACACATTCTAAAGATTAAAGATCAAAATCTCTTTCTCCTCTTCTCCATTTTCGAAATTAGTAGTGTAGGAAAGCCCCAAAATCTCTCTTTCAAGAGTACGATTCTTGGCCAAAGGAGTAAGTCTTCTTCTTCTTCCCTATTTTCTTCATTTTCGAAAATTTCAAGAAACTAAGCTTCTTCTTCCTCTAACTCTAAAATTTCTTCTTCTTCTCCTTATAGAAAGGAAGGAACACCCTTCCAAATTTTCTAAGAAGATGAAGGTGATAATTTTCGAATTCTTGCTACAAGTGCTTCAACACCAATAGTATTTTTCTTCTCTTTAATTTCTTGATATAGTTCTTGTGATGACCGAAAACTAAAGGAGGAAGAAAATAAAACGTTGTGTTGAATTTATACTTTGATCATCCATGCATGTAAGAATCTAAGCTTCAAATGATATAATCTTAAAGAACTAAGAATAATATTGTAATTTTAATTTTATGTATATATATATATATATATATATATATATATATATACTAGACCTGCGTGATCTTAAGGAAACTTCGATCCATGGTTTTCGTAAACCTGTGTGGTCGAAGAAAGTAATTGATCCAATGTTTAAATATAATCTATATGTACTATATATAAGTATATGTTTCTATGAGTATATATATCGACCTACGTGGTTGTAAGTGTACTCCCTTCGGGTCGAGGAAGCCTACGATCCATGGTTTATGATCTATGAGTAATAAGATAATATACGAAGATAAAAATCGAGAACAAGATTAATAAAAATGTAATTTTGTGTGATTGAATTGTTGATGGTTCGAATATTTTGGAAAGAAAATGAAATAAATGGAAATTTGAAGCTACTTGAAAGAAAACTTCAAGTCTCTTGAGAAAGTGGGCTTGAACTTTAATTAATGAAACTTGGAGATAGTAATTATAAATAACCGAATGCTTTGAGCTACTTTTGTTATGTGCGTAAAATATGTGATCTATGTTCTTTGCTTGAGTTGTTATGTGTCTTACTTGCTTTTGTGCTTGTGATTTTGTGACTAAACTATGTGCATTTGTGAAATATGCGGAAATATGTGTGCCTATGTGAAAGCTAACTTTGAATATGTGAAATGAAGAATATATACTAACCTCACTTGCACGTTTTTAAAGTTGGGAAATCTTGTAAAACATAGATTACGTGGTTGTAAAGTTCTATGTCTTTAATTATTTATCTCCAATGGCTAATGCTATTTTGAAACTGTTTTAAAGGAGTAATTTAGACTCATATGAGAGTATGTGATTCCACAAAATGTTCAAAGTCTTTGTATGAAGGATTTAAGAGAAATTAATTTTCAAAGTTGATCTACCTAATCTGTCCAAAATTCCTCTTTTTTTACTCTTGATAATTTAAATTACTAGTCATGCATGCCTCTTTTGTGATAGTTGGTCAAGTGTATATGATATGGTAGTATGTGGAAACTCTTCCTCTGACTTTAAAAGAAAAATTTATGCGTGGCTTTCTATTTGCCGAAGGTGATTTTTAACGAGCATTACACACTCATTATTTTCTATAAGTCTTCCGCTAGCATATTCTAAATTACTTAGTAAGTGTAATTAGAAAAGGGGTGTCACACATAATATATTGAATTTATAAATATTTGGCATTTCACTTTTTTGTTAGCCTTCACTTTATATTAGTTCTTTATTAAATCGTCACTTTTTATTTTCTTTTATTTTTTGATTTTTTTTTCAAATTATATTACAAGTTGGGGAGTATGGGAGAGGGCCGAATTCAAACCCTAGATCTCTACTATAATAATAAAGGATGAGTACCAACACTCATGACATTCCACTTAAATGAAGTTAAATATTGTATTTTATTTATAATAAGAATAAAAAATCTAGTGTTTTTCAATATGAAAACAAGTTTCTATGAAATCAAAAAAACAAATGTTAACATTATATTACATATTAATAGTTAGAAAATATTGCAACATACAATTAATAAACTTTTTTATGCTAAGAGCATCCTATGTAGAACATATTGTCGTATGCATATGTTTCACTAATGACACGGTCCAAATTTAATACTTTGTTTGGCAATTTTAAGAATCAAGATCATTGTACCTAGGGGTGCAAGTTGGAACGGAATTTCCAATTTTCGCCGATTCCGATCCGAAAAGTTCCAATTTTGGAACAACTTTTTTCATTCCGACTTCCGAAATTCCGATTTCCGAATTTTTCCGATTTTTTTGGATTGGAATTGGAATTATATAAAATAAATTTGGAATTTCCGATTTCCGATCCGATTTAATTCCGAAATTAATTCCGAAAAAATCCAATTTTTTTCCGAAAAATACACCTATAAATAATATATATTATATAATACTTATTTTCCGAAAAATACACCTATAAGTTTTGTTTTTGGATTTTGACATAATGAATTGTTATTTGAAGTTTTATTGGATATTATGTTGTGTTTATTTTTATTTATTTTTTTGAACTGAATTTTAGTAGTTATTAGTTTTACTTTTATCGACGTGAATTTTCTTATTTTTGAAAATTTATGAACATTATAGAAATTTTCGGCTAAGTTTTGAAATTTTAAAGCTTATGTGATTTCCGATTTTTTTCCGAAATTCCGAAATTTCCGGGCTTTTTGGAATTGGAATGAATTTTTAGATTCCGAAATTTTTGGAATTGGAATTGGAATTGATTTTGTACTTCCGAATTTTTTTGGAAATTTTCCGAAAAGGCTAATTCCGATCCGATCCATCCGACTTTCACCCCTAATTGTACCTTTCATAGGGATGGCAACGCGTCGGTTCTGGGCCGGGTTTGCCTAAACTCAAGACCCGACCCACGAAAAATATATAAACCCAAGACCCACCCCAACCCGCTTTAGCTTAGACCCAGACCCGCCCCAACCCAAACCTTAACTAAACGGTTCCGACCCGCTAAACCCATTAACATACAAAAAGTTTAATATTTTTTAACTTTCATAACATTTTGCTTGGATATTTTTACGAAATAATTTCAATACTAAAATACAATATTTTAAAAAAATCTCTACAAGTGACATAACATGAACAATAAAATTACAATTAATTATATTTAACTTCGATAATAAGTAAAATTCAAAATACAAGACAATTAACGGTGGTCGACAAGTGATAAATATTACTCACGAGAAATGATATTCGAAAAATAAAATAGTGAAAATAGGTAAATAAGAATAGACAAGATGGAAATTGATAGTTTGATAAATGAAACTCGAAATTATATATATATATATATATATATATATATATATATATATATACGGGTCGGTTCCGGGTCGGTTCCAATAAGACCCATAACCCGACCCAGAACCATTCGGTTCTAGAAACTTAAACCCATTACCCGACCCAGAACCATTTAAATGACCCAGACCCGCCCCAAACGGGTCGGTAAAGACCCGCCAAACCCGTACCCATTGCCATCCCTAACCTTTCACATGTTGGGCTATAGCACATTCAACGGGAAAAAATCATGCACACACGAAAAATTCATTAGGGGTATTCAACAGCAGCCCTGAACATAATGTATTAACAAGAATATATTTTTTTCCATACGAGAGATGATGATAAATTATACTAGGCTAACCATGCGTACCGAGCTTGGTTCAATTTACAAGCTCTATTACTCCAATCGCTAGCTAGACCACCCCTTGTGGGGCTTACTCTAATGGTACCACCAACCACTCTGGAGATGAGTACGGTAGATCAATTACTGTAACACTCCTTAATTTTTATTATGTGGTATAATAATAGTTTATACATGTATATTATTGAAGTTTATTCATTAACGAGAGTAATATAGTAATGTAGTGTGATTTAGGTGGCTGAAGTGTTCTTAATAGATAAATCTTGGGTACAAGTATAAATAATAAGATTAGAAACTTTTTTTTTTTTTTGAACGAATAAAATTAGAAAACTTACCAACCAAGGAAATGACGTGGGTTCATTTATCAGATAATTGAGAAGAAGGGAAATTTTGTTTATTTCGGAAATTGAGAGAGAGCCGCGTGTCTCGAGGAGTAGAGTCATCAGCGTCTTCTTCCTCCGATAAATTCCTCGTCATCTCGTCTCAAATTCCTTCATACTCCCATTCTTACTCAGCATATAAACTACACTACCCAGAAATTCAAGAGATTGAATATCAAAAACCATAGAAATAAGTAAGAAGTAAGAAGAAGCTAAGGTTCAATCGACGGAGAGAAGATGGTGACTTGACAATCTTTCCGGTGGAGTTCCAGCGAGCGGGGTATAGTGTTAGAAAGCCCGTTGTAGAAGCTTTGATTCAGTGGAAATTTCTACCCGTTTGATTTGGTGACGATTCCTCGATTATGTCAAAGATATTCAGCCTACTGTTAATTTCATAATCCGATTTGAGGTATTTTGACTTCGAATTTCAATTTTGTTTCTTCATAAAAATCGTAGAATAGGTTGAATATTGTTAGAATAACAAATTTTCTCCAATTTTTAGAACCCTTGTTGAAACTCATTTTTGACTCTACAGTAGCTTCAAAAAGGAATTTTCGAAAATAAAACTTGTTGTTATTACTCTGATTTTCATAACACAATTTGGGAGCTTTGGAATTCGAATTTTAAAGTTGTTTCTTCTCAAACATCATAGATTTTCTGGAGCATGTTAATTATATGTTGAAACTCGTTCCATATGATTAAGTCCTATAGGCTTTTTGAACGGATGAATATGGGCGTTGAATCTGTCAATTTTGGCAGCTCGTATGATTGTTCTCTTGGGGTTGTTTCCTATGTATTCAAGTCATAACTTGAGTTCAATGTCTACTCTTAATTTGTAGACAAAGTCGTTATATTCGATTTGATATATTATTTGTTAAATTTGGATAACATTTCGAATTATCATGATTTTTCAAAACATATGGCCATAAAATGATTTTTTGTAAAATCCTGGCAGTTTTTGTTACTCTTTTCGGGGGCTGTTTTAGCTATGTTGTGCCCATAATTTGGAAATCGTGTCTTCATTGAACTCGTAGATATTTTTCTTAGCTTTAATTTGGTATATCATTTGTCCTGTTTCAAGATATGTACAGCATGTTATTATTTTTCAAATAAGTTGTACCATAAATGATTTTTCAATGTTTTGGGAGTTCTGTTATATGCTGGTTTGGGTTAATTCTGGTATTTTGGGTTCAGAATTTGGGACCAAAGTCTTCTGTGAACTCGTAGGATTATTTGTTAGCTTTCATTCAACGTATCATGTCATCAATTTGGAAAAACGTGGAAATTGTTATGATTTTTTGAGTAAATTGTGGCAGCATATAAGTTTTATTATTATGTTGAGAAACTCGTCAACTATATGAACAAATTATGTGGGTATTTGTCCCGATTCATTAATCTGGTAACATGAACGTGATGTTTTTGTGCTATGTTTTGATGTTGGTTGCGGGGTTAGATTAAATTAGAATTGGTTAGTGAATTATTCGGCCTTAAGGGCATAGAAAGCTAGGACGATGTAGAATGTATATTAATTTATTTTAATAAATATTTGGTGTCTTATAGTTTAAATATTGCATAGGTGTTGAGATCGAGGAACCATAACTGACGAGTACTATTGATTGGACCAAGGTGATGGTTCTTTTGCTTGACATTTTCAGGGAATATGATAAACTCGGGTAATTGTATCGCTCGAGTACTTGGATTTTGCTCTCTCTCATTGGATTGATCTATTCGTTATCATTTTGATTATCATTATTTGAAATTGATTGGATTATATTATTTGAAATTGATTGGATTATGTTGAACTTGAGATTATTTGAGAAATGCTATCTTATCGATAGTTCAACTCTTTGATTTCCATTTCCTTCGAATAGTAATTATTGAGTGATCGGTATGAAATTCTTTGAAGCCGATCGTTTTCCTTCAAGTTCTATTCAATTATCTAAACTTCATATCTTGAAACATCGAGCCCTCTTTGAAGCCCTTCATTTGATCCTGTTTCTCATAAATTCTATTGTGTTTGAAATCCTGAAATAATGAAACAATACGGTCTTCTTATATGATCGATAAAGTCTTTCTGGGATTTAGACCCGTACATTACCCACATAGGTTTATACCCGTACACAACTGGAGGTTAGTTCGGTTTCGGGCTAAACCGGCATGCGCCCGGGCATGCCACATTGCATTACAGGGTCATTCCCTGCTCGGTGAATAAGGTAGTAAACGGCTACGGGAGTCACAAGGTAGGTGTATTCTTATCTCTATTGATCGGAAAATCTATTGATCAGTCTTACTTTTATTCTTGAATTTCCAATGAAAATATAATCTTTAAACGCTTCTATTTTCCAATATCACCTAATGGTACGATCATTGAACTTTCTCTCAGATCATGTCGTAACTCGTTATTCTTATATTTTACCTTAAGTCTTCTATGACTTATCCCTCTATTTTATTTTGTCATATTCTCAGACTCAGGTGCAAGCTTGAATGAAACAGGGGATTTCCCGTCCGAGTAGCTGCCTTGTTTATATTTGTAAAATAGTTGTTCGATTAAGTTAAGAATAACTGTTGTCTTGTATTGTAAATATCAGCATTTGAACTTATTTATGTTATAGTATTGTAATCTCGTAAGCTAGAAGCTGATGTTATAACTGTTCGGAACCTTTGTACTTTACCTTGCTAGACGTAAGGTTGTCGATAAATAAATCATACATATTTTTATGAGGTATAGATTGAATTAGAATTATTCAAAAAAAGATAGACTGATTCTTTCAATAGAGTACTTTGACAAACGCTTCATAGAAGGCGGGCGTCACAATTACTATTTAAGCTTTAAAAGTGGTTGGAGCCAATTGAGCTTACTGATATTTCTTCATCGGTTGGGACCCGCAAGGTTTGAGTTTGCATTGTCGCTGAGCTTGAATATCTCCAAACCATTCAGAAGAACATCCGCGTATTCTGCTTTGGTTTTGTCGGTTGGGTGAAGTGCCACCTGCAGCAGTTGAGAATCGTCGGTCTTGTTCTTGACTTGTACTACGTAATCCCTTATAGTGGGAGTTGCTATAGAACCCGTCCATGCGTACAAATCCACTTGGCTTGCGGCGATTTTATTGTTAATGAAAATGTCGAAAACTCTCTGATTTGGTTTAGTCATCTCGGAATCACACCAATGGAATCTGAGTAAGTACATGAAATTCGGATCTACGTGGAATACCCACGACAGATTGGAGTTCTTGTTTACGTCTACAAAAGGACCCATTGATCTATAAGTTGAGTATAGATCTAAGGGGGCAATGTAAGAGGGCAACCCTTTGTATCTGATTGTTGTGTTGGCTTGTACGGCCACTCCATCGGCTGCACCGTAAATGTATAGACTATCGTCATACCAACTTCGCATAAGTCCACCCGAATCATTTGCTGGGGCGATATATTGCCCGCCCACATTTAATCTGAACATGGTTTCCATGTTGTTGCTTTGTATTGGTATTGCAACAGCAGTGTCGAAATCGTCACCGGGTCCAATAGAACCGGCCAATGTTGGGTCGGTGTCGAATAAGGGTGGCATGGAAATAAGCTCAATGCCATTGATGAACGCGAAAGAGTTATCTGATGGTTTAAATGTGAGGTGGAGTGTGGGGAACTGTGATGGAGCCAAGTAATATTCCTTGATGAAATATGCCTGAGAGAGAGCTTCCGCGGCTAAAGAAGCGCTGAAATTATTCAACAATGTAACGCCGCCTGCGACAACCGAGAAGTAAGAATTGGAGATGTTGAAATTTGGGTAAGAAGAAGGGTAGAAATGGAGACGAAGTAGAGTTCGAGAGGTTGAATTTTGGAGAGGAAATTGATAGGTTGATTGGGATTGGAATATTCTGGCAGTCATATAAGGAATATCTGAAGGCAGAGAAGGGTCTTGAATTTCAGCCTTGACCGATGTCGATTTATCATCAACCCCTAAGTATGAGGTGTCGGGTTGCCATGTCGTACCGTCGTCGGATTCGTGTTTTACGTTGTTTGAAGAGCCACAACTAATTAAAATCAACAAACTTGGTCGTTTGTGGTTTTTAGCATAGATTGCATTTGAGAGAAGAAGACAAATAGTTGCAAATGATACAAGAATGTGATTACGATCGCAGCGATTACTCGTTCTTCTCATGGCTCTACATGAATGAATGGATGGATGAACGACTGAAGAAACAAAACACACAAGAAAGTTGGCATGCATGAATAAAAAATACTGAGAAAACAAAAGAAATAGAAAATAAATGGTGGAATTGATCTTCTCTAAATTTATTGTTTTGTGGTTGTGTTTTTCTTGCTCACTAATAAGGTTGTCCGAACGGATGGAGATGAGTGAATCCCTCATATTTGAAATAAGTTGTTAGGCTATATGGTGACGTTACAAAATGAATGGCACTCGATGAGAAGAGGAACTAAACAAGTCTCATTCGGAAAATACATGTTTGTTATTTTCACACTTTGTCGAACATATCTAGTATAAGTTCGAACAATATAATACCAGTTAAAGTACGTTAAGGTGAAGAAAAAAACATAAGTGCGTTTTTCTTAGGTACATTTCGACCGACGAAAACAATGAAAACTTAAAAAGTCTAATTAATTTATCTTAAAATCTGCGACATAATTCAAGGTTGATATAGTACATGAGAATTATTACATATATAAGCTAAATCTAACTTCACATATATATTACACAGTAAGAAGTATAAAGAACATGTGCACATAAATATCATTGCATATATATATAAACAGTTGATACAAATTGGTTCGGGGGTATGTTGTTGTATACGGTTTTTGGCTTTGATTTTTTTTAGGGGTGAAAATCATAATGAAATTTCCGAATTCGGCCAATTCTACTCCGAAAATATCCAAATTTGGAACCGTATTTTTCATTCCGATTTTCGAAGTTCCGATTTCTGATTCTTCCGAATTTATTTGGAATGGGATGGAATTGGAATGGTATATAAAATTATCGACATTTCCGATCCGATTTTAGTTTTGAATATTTCTATGGTTTTTCAAAATATATAATATACTTTTATTATATATGTCATAATCCCATAATAACTTATGTTAAATTTATATGAAAAACATAAATACTGAAGGGTCAACTAATTAGAACCTTAGAAAATATTAATTGCTATCAGAAAATTTATATTGCATTTTTCCTTATAAGATAATCTATGTTTCAATTTGTTGGTCATACATGTTTGTCTTTATTTATTGCATTTTGTCGAACTCTTTTTTGGATTTTCTTGCATTTCCTTGTAAAAATTTAAAAAAAAATATAGAAGAAGATTGTGAAATTTTCCATTATATATGAATTTGGAACAAGAGATTAAAACTAATGTAATTTCTGACATTTCCAAAATCCCGCCGATTCCGATCAGAATGAAATTTTGTGTTCCGATTTTTTTGGAATGGAAATTGGAACCCATTTTTTACATTCGAAAATATTTGGAAATTTTCCTAAAAAGTCATTTATGATCTATTCCGTCCGATTTTCACCCCTCATTGTATTTGGTTTATTTGTAATTAAGGGTAAGTTAGTCATTTCACGTAAGTCAACAGCCAAATCTGATAAAGTGATTGTGTGCTTTGAAAAATATAATATAGGAGGTTATTTTCTAATTCTTTTGACAAGAGGACTTTTTCGTCAATATAATATTACACAGGGGTTTATGTGCAATCAACTCATATCTATATTTGCTAGTAACTAGGTGAGATGTGTTAAAATATATGTTAGTGTATAATATTTATGTATGTGTGGAGCAGTGTGTTACTGCAGACAAATTGTAATTCAAAGTCGACCTTATTTTTATTATGCATAGATTTTTACTGACTGATACGGGCTTTTCTGACCGAAGCAAGTATATATAGACTAAAAAGACCCAATTCGTTAATACGAGGAAAAATGTCGAACCATGATTCCCCAATGACGATTCGGAAATGCCATAGCTCGCAGCTCAGTACCAAAAAACGAGGTAAAACAGGCCCAAAACAATGCAGGCCCAAAACACTTGACTTGAGAGGAGGGCAAACCCTAAAAAAGGAAACCTTGGAGGCTAAGGTTTCCTCATCTATAAATAGAGGGACCATTAATCACACACACACACATTATTATTCTTCACCATAATATCGCACGTATACTTATCCCTTCAGATTACTGACTTGATCGCCGGAGCTCTCCCGCCGGGAACCCCTCCCGGCGTTGCAGGTACCATCGTCGGAGTACGGACCTGAGTGCTTTGAAGAAGACGGAAGCCCCACGGACTAAAACACTGACAGACATAGTGAAACGAAGTGATAACTTTTTATGGATCGATTAAATGGATTTGAGGTAGCGGTTTTGATTTTAAAGTTTTTAATACTTGTGAATGTGCGAATGGTTTATGGTGTTTGTTTATTCACTCGAGTCGATATTTTGTCACTAAAAATTATTTATTTCAAAGTGTTGGTTATGAATATTATGTTCTGATAAAGCGAAGTGGTGTGAACTTGTTGCTTATGTGGTGTGTTATGTGCACGTTGATTATCTTGTTAGCTTCAGTCAGTTATACAGTTGGATAAATTTGGATTTCAAATGAGTAGGTTATGATTTTTTCTGTATAGGCTAAACAGTTCTTACGCGAGTTTTTCATCATATGTTAAAACCTCAATTTACTAGTCTGGTCAAACCGGTTCTAATTGTATATTAATTCAAAGGTTTATACTTTTTGGACGAAAATCGATCTTTTTATTAATTATTAACGTTTCTTCCGATGCATATGAGTGCCGACAATACTGTATGTTTTTAATTATAACTCGAAATATGTTCGACCTTTTGTAGAACTGTTTTTACATCAAAATTTGACACTCGTTTTAGAGTGGTGTATTAAATTTTTAGATTCTTCCGACAAGTGGTTTGAGAGAAATAAATTTTTGAAGTTGAAACATCGAAATTGTCCGATCTTCTAAAGTTATTTATCTTTTTCTTAAACTTATTTATTATTAATCATGTCTCGAAATTTCAGGGCGTGACAATTAATATACATTTAGGGTACGTTTGATAAGATTAAGCACTGAATGCTGAATGCTGAAACCACATCTGAATGACTAACGGCACATTTGGTATGTGGGTATGGGCAAGGAATGGAATATATATTCCCAATTTTATTCCCGAATACATGTTTGGTATGTTTTGGGAATGAGAATATCCATTCCTAACGGAATGCTTATACCCAAAATTATAGGATTAGTGATTCCTCCACTCCCCCATGGTTTTACGTATTCCCAATTCTATGGGAATAAATAATTATTTTCCTTTGACAAAATTATCCTTATTTAATACTTTTTATTTACAAAATTATCACGCAAATTCAATTTAACTTAAACCTAATTAATCAATTCTTCTATCATATTGATTTATCGTCTCTTTTTCTCCTTTGTCGTCTTCAGCGGTCTGAAGGTACACTTTTTTTTTTTCTTCTGCATATTTCTTTCTTCGGCTTGTGATTTTCTGATTTTTGTAAACTCATTTGTTGAATAACTGGATTGAATTTAATGGGGATATGAAAACAAACTATAAATAATACTATTGCTTGTCTTATTCTTGATTTTTAACAGTACGTGCAATTGATTATAAAGAAGCAAATTCAAGTTTTCTACTGCTTATAGAATAAATAGAAATTGATGGGGTGATTAGTGGGTTAAAGAACAATTATTTATAGTTCCTATGCATTAGGCTTTTATTTTATTATGTTTAACCCATTTGTTTTGTAATTTTGTATGGCTATTTTCATAAGGATGGATACTCAAACCCAAGATACAAGAGGTCGTGGTAAAAATAAAAGAAAATGGAAGTATGAAGAAGATGCCAAACTTGTTCAAGTACTTCTTGATATGGTAAATCTAGGATTATATAAAGCTGAAAATGGGTTCAAGCCGGGCTATCTAAATTATGTGGAGGAGAAAATGCAAGCTTTTTTGCCTAATTCGGGTTTAAAGGCAAAACCACATATCGAATCAAGAATTAAGACCTTAAAGAAGGATCTTCATATTGTTTACGATATGCTACATGGCTCCAACACAAGTGGTTTTGGTTTTGGTCCAATAAAAAAATGCATTACAGCTGAAAAGGCCGTATGGGATTCATATCTTCAGGTTTGGTATTTAATTAATTCTATCGCTTTAATTGTTGATTATGCTATTGTACATCAGTTATGTTTTTAAGCCATAAAAGTTGCATGAAGGTTGTTAATTACATAAATTTCTTTTTTTCTTTTTCTCCCTACGAAACAATATCAAAATGCTTAATTGTTTTACTTTTTTTATTAAACAATGTAAGTATATAAATATTTTACTTAGCATGATTTTTTATGGTCATGAGTTTATATATTTTTATATTGAAAGTGAAAAGATATTTTTGCTAAGGTGTCTCATCTTGGTTTTATATCTCTAGAAGCTTTGAATTATTTTAGCTCATTGTGATTTTGTTGTTTTTATTTTTTTCAGAGTCACCCTTCTCATGCAATTTGACAAAACAAATCATTCCTTTACTACGAAGACTTGGTTGTTATTTTCGGAAAAGATCGGGCAACGGGAATAAATGCTGAAGGTCCTGCTGATATGATGGAAAATATAGAAAGAGATGAGACTAACAATGATACTGTTAATTATGTTGATTCGACTATGGAACCTGAACTTGAGGATTTTGGTACTTATAGTTCATTATCGCCTATGCAATCTCCAAGAAGTCAAGGAACTCATAATCAGAGAAAGAAAAAAAGGAGCAGCAGCACCGAAAACGTGGCAATAATGACAGATATTAAAGATGCAGCTGCAGTTATTGGAAGTGAAATTGCCAAAGCCAGTCAGATCTTTGGAAAAGCAGTTGGGGTTGATGCTGAAATATCTGAGAAGAGGCAAAAAATTGATTCTGAGATAAGAAAGATTTCCAACCTCACTGTAGGAGAAATTATCAAGGCCGTTTGTCATATAGCGCATTCTCACGAGTTAACTGATGTGTTCTTTAGTATGACCGAAGAAGGAAAAGAGCAGTTGGTTAAAGCTATTCTAAATGGTGATGTTTAAAGTTTTATTATTATTGTTCATACAGTATTACAACCTTTGAAGTTGTTTCTTTCTGAATTTTGGTTC